TTACGTTGTAGGTCAGCCAAACGTATAATAAGGGCTCCAGCTTGATTTTCTGCAGCTTTAGCTCTCTGGCTGCTGGAGAGAAGATTCTCTTCCAGGGCACACTTGGAAACATTTAAACTGTTGGTTCGAATATGGAGCTTGTCAATTTTGTCATTAAGCTCATTGTTTATCTTCATTACTTTATCCAGAGATGCTAAAAGTAACCAGCCAGCATCATTATTTTTCTTATTTTTCCACAAATCATCAAATGTTTTATGTATAGAGTCACTAAATTTCTTGCTCCTCACAAGAGGTGAGTTAGGAGATTCAAATGGGTCTATCTCCATAATTGTTTCAAATAGTCTACACCATGGATTTTCAGTACTCTCCATGCTATCTGAAGACTCTGACTTGGAGAGCCTGCTCCAAATACCAATAAGCCCATTAAAGAAATTCATCCTTTCAATTCTGTTTCCCTAGTACCACTCCTGGCACCACAATCTGTATTAGTCAGGGTTCTCCAAAGAAACAGAACCAGTAGAATGAATATGTATAAAGATTTATCAGCTTAGCTCACAGGATAGAGTCCAAGTAGTCCAACAATGGCTGCACCACACTGGAGAGGCTGAGAATCTGTAGTCGCTCAGTCCACAAGGCTGGATGTCTCAGTAGTCCCAATCCGGTGCTGAAGGTCTGATAAATTCCAAAATATCAGCTAGTCTTCAGTCTACAGCAGCAAGACGAACTCACCAGCGAGAGAGAAGGCAAGCAGCAAAAAGCCCTGTGTTCTCTGCCTTGGTCTTTTATACCGGCTGCCATCAGAAGGTAATGCCCACATTTAGGGTGTGTCTTCCGGCTTTAGATGATGCAATCAAGAAGATCTCTTTCATTTCAGTTAATCTCAGATCAAATCAAGTTGACACCCAGGATTAGCCATCACATTCGGTATTTCTTAATTGCTTAATATCAAAAATAAGGAAATTCTTCAGACTTTTGAAGACTATATTTTGGTACTCCTGTCAATTGAAATAGATCCACAACTACTAGAAAAGAATAGTATGAAAAGAAACAAGATTTCTAGCTGCTAGAGCTATGAGTCAATGATTAAGAACACTTACTGTTCTTCCAGAGGACCTGAATTCGATTCCCAGCCCTCACATGATGGCTAACAGCCCTCTATAACTCCAGTTCCAGGGGATCCATCACCCTCTTCTGACCCCTGCAGGGCATTTCAGTCATGCGGTGCACTTACATGCATGCAGGCAAAACACTCATACACATAAAATAAAAATAATAAATATTTGAAATATATATTTTTTTACAAAAGAAAAAGTTATTTCTACAATAGCTTATGCAAGATGCTTACTCAAGCCTTGCCTCTTACACCTACACGTCATTTGGTAGAGCAGAAGCAGAGTGCACTTGCATTTCTAAGGGCATGCCTCGTAAGATTCAACTTCTCTTTAGTTCAGATGTCTGTATAGCTGAGTTCCAAGTCTCCAGACAAAATCTAGGGTTCCTGTTCCTAAAGGAAGAAGGAAAGAATGATTTGTTGATATATAGCTAACATTATCTGCCGTGGGCACGTGCTCTAGCTTTTGCCTTAACTTCTAGTTATCTTCTACATGTATCTCAGCTTGGACTTCCATTGCTACATACAGATTTTCCTAGAACATACTCCACACTTTCTTGCTGTTGTATCTGTTACTTTCTCCCCAACTCACAACTTAAAGTCTCTCTAGCCTCCTCCCTGTCTTTTCTCCTTTTATCCAAATCCTGCTCAGCTTATTCTCTTTGAATGCCTCCTGGATCTTACCGTTTTCTGGTCTGGCAAATGCTTGGATTTTTAGACATTTTACATATTTATAAGTACATCTGTATTTATTATATTTTATCTTTAAATTGCAGACTGTTTCTGTAACAGAATCCAAAGAGAGCATTCTTGGTGGGGTGCTGAAAGTGCTACTACATAGTATGGCTTGTAACCAAAGTGCAGTCTACCTGCAGCACTGCTTTGCTACGCAGAGAGCTCTGGTCTCAAAGGTAGGCTATTTTGTCCCTGCAGTCTTATCTTACTTTGTTTTCTTCTTTTAACATTGTATAAGATTGTTTGCCACATTAACTGGTTAATATTTACATAGATAAAATTTGAACATTTAATACCCTTGATTCCTCTGTGTCTCTGCTTCTGTCAGTCTTTAGAAATTTTGTATTTATTTGGATCATTGTTAACCAGTTTCTCATCCAAAACTAGTCATTTTGTTTTAAGAGCCTAAAATCAGATACTGAGTACTTGGGTGTAGTCTCTTTTTATTTTTTTGACCTTGTTCTGTTTTTGTTTTGTTTTTATGGTACTGAAGATTAAACTTAGATCCTTATACTTGTTATAAAAGCACTCTACCACTGAGCTCCATCCCCTCACCTCATCTATTCCTTTAAAACTGTGGTGCATGCCTTTAATCCCAGTACTCAGGAGGCAGAGGCAGGCAGATCCTCTGTGAGTTCGAGGCCAGCTTGGTCTACAGAGTGAGTTCCAGGCAGCTGGAGCTACAGGGAGACCCTGTCTCAAAAAAGCAAAACAAAAACAAACAACAACAACAACAAAAACATTTATTAAGAATTGTTCAGGGGCTGGAGAGATGACTCGGCAGTTAAGAGCACTGGTTCCTCTTGCAGAGGACCCATGGTGGCTAAAAACTTTCCATAATGTCAGTGCCAGGGGAATCCAACACCCTTTAATGACCTGCACAGGCATTGCACAAACGGGATGTACTTAGGCACATGTAGGCAGTACACTCATATACATAAAATAATAAAAATATTTTTTAAAAGAATCATACAAACAATTCAACCCATTGAGTCAGTTCATACTGTGGTAAAAGTTATTTTGTTTGTTCTAATGCTTCAAATATTTATTTCCCATGTTTTCTCTTGGAAATATGTGCATTCTTATTTGTTTATTTTATATGTAATTTTTATTTATTAGTACTATGCTTTTCATAATATCTGGTTGAAGCCTCACAGCAATCCCATGTAAATAATATTGGGCTTAATTTATGAGAAAGAAAACTTGTCCAGAGTCACACTTCTAGCTAACAAGTAATACTGTTGGTATTTGAACCCAATCTGTTTGACTATGGTCTACACTGTTGACCATTAACTGATATTATCCCTTAACCATTCTTTTTAGTTTCTGGGCTAACCTGCCAGAGTTCAGGCTATATTAACATACCTCTTTTTTTATAGTTCCCCGAGCTCTTGTTTGAAGAAGAAACAGAGCAGTGTGCTGATTTATGCCTCCGACTTCTCCGACATTGCAGCAGCAGCATTGGTACAATACGGTCACATGCTAGTGCCTCCCTCTATCTCCTCATGAGGCAGAACTTTGAGATTGGGAATGTAAGTATTTTGCCATGAAAATTCCCTGGATTCATAATGAAATAATAGCTTTAGCAGACAAGTATTAAGAACTTAGAAATCTGGATATTTCTCTTTTTTTGCATTTTTATTGATTTTTTGCAATTTCTATACAATCTAATTTGATGACATTTATATCCCCTCTCCCATTCACACCTCCCCAATTGCCCCCCCTTCAATTTGATATATTCTCTCTGTATAATAAAGCCTATAGAGTCTAACTTGAATCTCCAAATGTTCTCCAGTGTAGATTCATTCACTGGAGCTTGCATAGGGCTTGTGTATGCTGTCACCACTGCTTTGTGTTCATATGAGTAAATGACCAGCTGTCTGGAAAACCCACCCCCCCCCCCCCCCCCGCCATGGTTATCCACCACCTCTGGCTCTTACAATCAATCTTTTTACCTCCCCCTCTGCAATGTTTCATGAGCCCTGAGCTCCAGAAGCTTGTCAGAGACATCCCACTCAAAAATAGGTGCTCTACAGCCCGTTCCTTCCCACATATTAGAAGTTTCTGTATCAATCACCATCTGCTGCATAAGGAAACTTCTCCAGTGAGAGTTGAAGGATGCATTAATGTTCAGCAGTGGGTGAGCACCAGATCCAGCACAGTCCATTCCAATCATCCCTCCTGGGAGTCCATATGAGGGTACCACAGTTACATCTCACAGGAGGGGACCACAACTCCGGATCACAGGAGAGGAGCACACCTTTATCTCACAGGAGGGGACTACAGCTCCAGCTCATTAGAGAGGACCACAGTTCCAGCTCACAGGAGGGGAGCCACAGCTCCATCTTACAGGAGGAGACCACAGCTCCAGCTCACAGCGGGGGGAGCCACAGCTCTAGTTCACAGGAGAGGACCACAGCTTCAGCTCACAAGAGGGCACCACAACTGCAGCTCATAAGAAGCTCACAGGGAGGACCAGGACTCCAGACCACAGGAGAGGACCACAGCCCCAGCTCACAGGAGGGGAACCACAGCTCCTGCTCACAGGAGAGGACCCGATTCCAGCTTACAGGAGGGGAACTATAGCTCCAGCTCACAGGAAGGGACCACATCTCCAGCTCCCAGGAGAGGATCACAACTCCAGCTCAAGGTAGGGCACCACAACTCCAGCTTACAGTAGGTGAACCACTGCTTCAGCTCACAGAAGGGGACCACAACCCCAGCTCCATGAGGGGAACCACAGCTCTAGCTCATAGGAAGAACCAGAGCTCCAGCACATAGGAGAGGACCACGACTCCAATTCACAGGAGAGTACCACAGTTCCAGCTCATATGAGGGGTCCACAGTTCCAGCTCACAGGAGGGGACCACAGCTTCAGCTCACAGGAGGGGACCCGCAACTCCAGCTCACAGGAAGGGACCCGCAACTCCAGCTCACAGGAGGGGAATTGCAGCTCCAGCTCACAGGAGGGGGAACAGCTCCAGCTCATGGGAAGGGTCCATGAGCTCCAGCTCACAGGAAGAACCACAGCTCCAGTTCTGAGGAGAGGATGCTCCAGCTCACAGGAGAGGACTGCAGCTCTAGTTCTTAAGTTCTCAGGCTCTCAGTGTTTTTCTCTGCATGTATACAAGCATACTCATGTCCTGCAATGCCCACAGAGGTCCGAAGAGGGCATTGGATCCCCTGGAACAAAGCTACTTCATTTGACTGGCTAAAATTTTGCTCCTCTGCTTAAAATCTTTCAAATAAAATCCTCAGGATAGAGGGGATGGGCCCAAGATGGCCGGCACCTGGCTTCTGCTCCTGCCCATGCAGATCGCTACTCATTTCTCGGCTGCTGAATGGCGCAGCATGCACTAGTGCACTCCGGACCCTCAGGAGGCCACCATGGCCACGCTGGAGAAGCTCATGAAGGCCTTTGAGTCACTCAAGTTGTTCTAGCAGCAGCAGGAGCAGCAACCACCACCACCATTATTATCCAGATGGCTGTTGACTTATGAGATTTCCAAGGAACCTTGTTATAAATGCCAGGGCAAAGTCCTGTTCAAGACTCTACTCTGATAACCTCTCATCCTGGGTAGTATAGGCTTCCACAATCATCTGCAGCCCATAGGGGGCAATGGCTGTCAGCGGCATGTCATCAAGGCCCACCTGGGCATAAATGTTCAGAGCTTCCCCATAAACTCCCTCCACATACTTCAACTTGGCCATGATCAGATTGGATTCTTATAGGAATTCTGGCTTGAGGTTCCCTCGGTCCATGGCAGCAGTCAGATGCCCATATACTTCAGTCATCTGGGGGGGGGGGGGGACTGGCTCCCTGCCGCAGTGGTTTCTCCTTCAAGGGTTGCTCTACTTTCAACTACCCGAGGAGAAGTTCATCTGTGTCATCGTTGGCAATGTGCTTGGTTGACAGATGCTTGAAGAGCTCGGGGATCCACTCCCACTGGCACTTGGAGCTGCAGCACTAGATCTCTGTCTCCAGCCTGAGCCCACCTTCCTGGTTGCCATGGTGGCCTGGCAGGGGGCCACTTGGCCCTGCCCAGCACATGGGTATTTCTTATTCTATGGAGATCATACACAAGTTCTTACCTCTAATTTCCTCTACTCTGTGTGTGTGTGTGTGTGTGTGTGTGTGTGTGTAATATGGACTCACACTGCTCTGTTTTTATTAGGCACCAAGTACTCTCTCTTGAGAGATTCTAGCTACTTTATTGATTAGTTTTTTAAATAAAGTCTCTAAAATTTGTTTATTCATAGAATTTTCTTGATACATATTCTTAATAGCATTTTCTGTTATTTTAGAAAATCCATTTTTTCTTTAAAAAAAAAAAGCAATTCATGTATCAGTACTGGATAGTACCTCTAGAAAGTAATTGGTAAATTTAAACTGGCAGTGATGCTTAAACTCATCACTGTATTCTAGGTTCCCACTACATAATTTGACATATTGACTGTAATGAATACTTTAATCTTATATCCTTCACACTATAGACAGACACTGGAGTATTTTAAAGAGATGAGTGATATTCATTTACTATGCCTGGTTTTACATAAAAGGTAGGCTTCAGGGATAAGACAAAGTCAGGGAGATTGATTAGGAAGTTACTACAGTGATTCAGGTAAGAAATACTAAAGGTGTTAACAAAAGTAGTGGTTTTAGGAATTTTTTTAAAAGGGAGATAGTTTAGAACAGATCAGAGAATATGGTATGAAAAATGAGAAGAGTGAGTGTGGGTGACCCCTATATTTTTAGTCTGAGTAAATCAGTGGGGAAGAAGGTGTGTTAGATATATTGACTATGGACTATCCATGAAACATCCAGGTAGAGCTGTTTAGTAAAATAGAATGGTCTTGAGCTCTACAGAGGTCTATGAACTGAAGACAAAGCAGTATATAAGTTAGTTCAAGGGAAAGGCATCAGTGAGGCTCTCTTGAGATTGTGGAAGAATAAAGAGATTTTTGACAAAAAAAAATAGGAAACATTGCTACCTCAGCTCCGTTTCCTGTTGCTGTGGTAAAATACAAAAGCAACTGAAGGGAAAAAGGGTTTATTTTCAGTACAGTTCAAGGTACAGTCCATCACAGCTGGGAAGTCAAGGAAGCAGGAGCTTCAAGTAGCTGGTCAAATTAACACCCACATAATCAGGAAACAGGAAGAGATCAATGTATGCTGCTGCTCAGTTCCCTCTCTCCATTATAGAGTCCAGGATCTCCTTTTCAGGGACTGGTACCAACAATTAAAATAAGTCCTCCCACATCAGTTGATATAACCAAAATAATCCCTCACAGATGTGCCTGGAGGTTTGGTTCCCAAGTAATTCTAGATTCTGTCATGTTGTAAATTAACAATAACCATCACACTTTGTTTTTAAGAAAGACAAACAAGGAATAAAGAAGGTAGAAAAGGAGTAAAGAATAAAATGAGCTAAAAATGTAGCTCAGTAGTAGAAACACTTTTCTTTGTTTGCTGAGGCCCTGAGTTCAGTACCCAGCACTACAAAACAAAACAAAGAAGGGAAAACCAGTATAAGGCAGCACCACTGAAGATAAAGCAAGAGGTTCAAAGGAGAAAGTAATCAGTACATTTAAATGTACAAAAATGTGAAGTAGCATACTGTTTTTTTTTTTTTTAAGTCCTAGATTTGACAGTTAATATTAAGAATGGTTTCATGAGGGGCCGGAGAGATGGCTCAGCAGTTAAGAGCACTGGCTGCTCTTAAAGAGGACCTATGTTCAGTTCCCAACACCTACATGGTTATCAATAACCATAACTCGAGTTCCAGGGGATCTGACTCCCTCTTCTGGTCCTCAGGCATTTGCATAACACAGGTGCACTTACATACATTCAGACAAAACACTCATACACATAAAAATAAAAAATTAAAAAGAATGGTTTCATCAGGAATGGTAGAGCAGAAATGAATCTATACTAAATAATAATAATAATGCCAGGCGTGGTGGCGCATGCCTTTAATCCCAGCACTCAGGAGGCAGAGCCAGGCGTATCTCTGTGAGTTCAAGGCCAGCCTGGTCTACATAGTTCCAGGACAGCTGGGGCTACAGGGAGACCCTGTCTCAAAAAGACCAAAAATAATAATAATAATAATTAATAATGTAAATTCTAAATAGTAGACCTCACTATAAAAGATTCTGCTACATAATATGTATCTAAAGTACTTTCATTATAGTGTGGAACTAATGAAATAAACCAGAGTTTAAATGCTACATTTTCCACTTAGAATTTAAGATTTAGTAGTTGGAAAATAGCTTAGTGATAGAATGTATACTGAGTGTGCTTGATGCCCTACATTGAAGAATTTATGATATCAGTCAGAATCTTTCATTTCAGCTGTAAAATGTTTATTATTCACGATACGTACCTCAGATACCTCATATAAACAAATGTAAAGATGAAGACTCAGTTTCAGATTGAGCTCTAACATAGATCTTTTTTCACTCATTTTGTAGTCTATTGCAACAAAAATCTTAAATTCTAAGTGCTTTTTTTTTTTTTTTTTTGTCTTTTTTGTGGCAGGTCCCCATTTTCCCCCAGCTGTCCTGGAACTCAGGATGTAGTCCAGGCTGGCCTTGAACTCACAGAGATCTGCCTGCCTCTGCCTCCCGAGTGCTGGGATTAAAGGCGTGTGCCACCA